AATTTTGCTACAACTGACTTGGAGCCCCCCTTTTTCTCTGGAAGCTTGTCTCTGGTGAGGGGTCTGGAGCACAAGTCTGAGGAGCGGCTGAGGGAACTGGGGTTGTTCAGCCTGGAGAAGAGGAGGCTGAGGGGAGACCTGATCGCCTTCTACAACTACCTGACAGGAGACTGTAGTGAGGTGTGGGTGTTGGTCTCTTCTCCCTGGTAAAGGGTGATAGGACGAAGGGAAATGGCCTCAAGTTGCACCAGGGCAGGTTTAGGTTAGATATTAGGAAAAATTTCTTCATGGAACGTATTGTCAAGCACTGGAATGAGCTGCCCATAGAAGTGGTTGAGTCCCCATCCCTGGAGGTGTTTAAAAGCCAGGCAGACGAGGTGCTTAGGGACATGGTTTAGTGGTGGGATGTTAGGGTTAGGTTAACGTTTGGATTTGATGATCTTAAAGGTCTTTTCCAACCTAAATGTTTCTATGATTCTCCTCAAAGGAGATCTTCATAAAATGCAAATGTGGAAAGTTTCTAGTGAAACTGCAGTGCAGTTCTGTCAACCCCCTGTTTTCTGAAGCCACAGTAATTTGAAAATCATATGAAACTATTTGGATTTAGTGGGGTGCATGATAAGGCTTCTGAATCTAAGGAAAAAGAGTAGAATGTTTCTTAAGGATTTGCAGACAAATTTACCTCATTCTTGTTTCTCCTGATCTTGTGATTTGGAAACATTGCATTAAGGACAAAGGTGGTAAACATTTCTGTTTACTTTGTTTGACATTTGATCTCACATTGTTTATATTGAGTTACTACGGACAAATACAGAGCATCACTTTGTTCTGCATTAAACTCAAGTATTTATATTGGTTTAGGAGGGGGAGCTGGAATCCTGGGTTGTAGTCCTGCTACAGGAAGATTAATTCTACCTACAGATTAGCGTGGAACAATTCTAGTTTGTCATTATCCGATGTATCTAGCAACATTATTTGGTGAATTAACTGAGGAGTAATCATTGCTTAGATCTCTGCTATGATTAAATGTAAAGAAAAAAAATCCATGCAGTTACAACTTCATCCAGTTAAATTCCTGGACTATTGCATTAGCTTCATCCTTGGTCTGAGAACATGGGATTTAAATCTCTAGCATTATGGGAAGCTTAATCACATGTTTATTTACTATTTGTGACTAGGAAATGTCATAGCTTCATATAGTTAAGCAGTACAGAATGTAATCTAAGGATTAGGAAAAGGCAAATCTGCCTATCCATTTGACCTTGAAAATCTGATTGGATTTCCTGTGTGACCTGGTGTGATTTTTCCCTAATTATCTAAAGTCTGATATATATGTGATGGATACCAAATGAGCTGTCCAGATATGGGTAGAATTCTAATGCTTAACTGTATTTCATATTTGTCTTAGAAGTAATGACAAAACCCAGAAAAATCTGAGATAAAATACAGTCCCATTCTAAAATAATTTTGCAGTAATTCATTGTTCATTCAAAATGAAAGTCTTGTGATAGTGGTGAATACAGAGTCTTAATTCAGTTTGATTAACTTTGGACCATAATAGGGGAAAAAAATATTTTATCTTATTTTGTAGCACTATGGCAATGGACTATGGCTGTTTATTAGAAGAAAACAAAGTTATCTGATTTTAAAACAAATGCAGAAAATTGATCTGTTTTGCTGAGAGTTTATTGGCAGCCCCTTATAGGTTTCAGTAGCTTCTTCTAGCAAATGGAAAGTTGATTAAACAGGGAAAATTATGATAAATAAAGAAATGGTGGTTGTTAAAATGGTTGATAAAAAGTATGCAGCTATTTGGGGTAGGAAAACTGATCTTCAGAGTAACTAATGGATTTCTTTTAATATTTATTTCAGCCACTTCAAGTTGAGTGATTACTAGAGCAAGAATGTTCTTTCTATGGCCTTTTAAATTCTTCTCTATTAAGTAAATCTAAATACTATAGAATTATAAGTGTATCTGGCATTAATCAAGTTGTTGCAGTCAAGTCCTTCAAAGAAAGAATTCTTATGTAAGCTAAAATACTTAAGAAATGCAAATAGCCATGTTGATCTTTTAAGGAATTTATGCAGCTTGCTCATCGGAGGAATGTTACTGAGATATTGTTAGAACTCTGCTCTTAATTCTTCAAATATTTTTTAACCTTGACAAGTCCATTTGAGACATCTGAAACGTTTGTTCCTGAAACAAAACTTACCTTTAGGTGTAATAATTCTTGGCAGTTTGAGAAGGTCCTTAAACCACTGTTCATTCATAAACTTGTGGTTCTAATTTAAAATTCCTTGCTATTTCTGGAAATGTAATTTTTAGGAAATGTAATTTTCAAGTGGGCAGAGGGATTGCACTGTGCAGTGCAATTTTGTACAACAGTATATGACAACAGGAGAAAACAAATTTAGTGTTACTAGTTCATAAAAACGTGGTGGGATTTGATTTAGCATGTACTTCTAAGTTTAGATTACCTCAGAAAAAAATCCTTCACTGTAACAGTAATTATAGTTATTGAAAACTTCAAAAGAACTTGAATCAAACTAACTACCTCTGGTGCACTGATCTGTTCCAAAATACTGCAGCATGGTGCATTAATGTGACTTTTATCCTTGAATGGAGTTGAACTGTGCATTTCTGATTATTTTTCTGAACGAATTCTAGTCCTAACACTTAAAATCAATACTAAGGGAAGTCATATTAAATTTTTGTGTAACTTCATTTGTTTCAGCTGTAAGAAAGTGGATGTATTTTTAACAATTTTAATATTTGGTAGTTCTTGGTATAAAATACTGCTGAGGAGCAATATACTTCTGATCAGCTTTGAGTATATACTGTTAATAGTGTATACCAACTGCAGCATTAAAAACCAATGCCAAGTTTCTGTTTTCCACTTGTAAAACTTACAAACCTCTAAGTAAAACTCAAACTTCTAAGTATCTAGTCTTGTTTTCAAAGAGAAATCAAAGTGTTATCATCACTGTCCTTGTTATGTCACGAAACAGGGGTATTAAAAGTAGTTTATTTGTATTTGAGTGTTGTGATAGTTCTAGGCTCTTATGTCCGAATACGATATTCAGAAACTTTGACTTTTTAAATACATCACCTGCTTTCTGAGTGGGAACATCATGCCTGATAAAATGTCAGTCTTATTTTCATCTGGAAGTGAAGTTCAATGTAACTTTACATCTATTTGCCCATAATTCTCTAGTCCATAAAGCTGCATCTAGAAATAACATCTGAATTTCTTAGAATCACAGAATGGCAAGGGTTGGAAGGGACCTTGGGAGATCATCTAGTCCAACCCTCCTGCTAAAGCAGGTTCACCTAGAGCAGGTTGCAAAGGACATCATCCAGGTGGGCTTTGAATATCTCTAGAGAAGGAGATACCTGGATCACTTTTACCTGGATTCAGTTGTTAAAATATGTTTTTCAGTAGCTGTCAGCCTGTAGGCTAAGGGGTTTGGAAGTTTTTCTTATCATACTACGACAGGAAGGTTGCTTTGATAGGGTTCCTCCAGAATGTTTACATTGCTAGAATCCATATGAATCAAACTTCCTAGGGACTTACCAAGATTCAAAAGTATAGCTGGGGAAGGCTTTGCTTTCCAAAAGCCTTCAGGTAGTCTTAGGGGAGTTTGTCTTAATTCTTCAGTTACTGAACATTAACTTGAATAAAAGCAATGTATCTATTTCGTTCTCTGTGCTAGTAAGGTGAAAACTTGTGTGGAAGACTGGAGTGTCAGTTGTTGGGAAAGATGTTAGCATCTTTATTTCTATTGCAGTAAATGGGAATGGACTGGTATTCATTAAACAAAGCTGCGAATGATGCATGGATTTTTTCAGTAGTAAGAAGTGTGTTGGTTTACTACTCCTGTTTTTCACTGGAAGTACTTTCAAACTAAGTTGTCTTTTAAAGTGTACCCAAAGGATGCTTTCTCCTATGTTTTTGATCAGTTTCTTTGTGCTCAAAGTTTTGTTACTGTCTTCCATTGGCATAAGATCACATTCCCACTAAAGAAACTTAAAGGGTTTGATAAACGTCATTAATTTCCACTGGTTAATTACAGTAGAGGGGTATGTTGTTGTGTAAAAAAAAAAAACACACCACCAAAAAAACCCAAGATATTGAAGATTTGGGAGGATGAATTCTAGATGTCCATAGAAGAACTTTTGTCACACTTCTGAAATGGGTTGGATTTTGGTATGTCCTGTGCTAACATGTTTAACACTGCAACTCACAGCATGCTGGACTCAAGTCCAGCAAAGACTTCAGGCAGTGCTTCATTTTTAATCCCCTTTTATGCTCATGTTTCCCACCAATGAAATGAAATCTGCATTTTTTTCATTAGCACACTGGAGAGTCAATAGTTGGAGAGAATTATAATCAAGTATCAGTGTTGTATGTAGCTCTGAAATGAGTAGAATTATGCAGCCTGGGTTTGAACTTCTGAATCTCATTCCCAGTTCTGTTATTGGTATAGCGGTGATCTCAGACTTTTGGGTGTGATCTATGTGCCTCAACTATGTTCCTAAAATTTGAAAGATTTACTTGACATTTGCTCATAAGTGCATGGTAGACAACCACTGTCAAACCTCTATACTTTGTTTATAGTATAGAGGGATAAAATAATTAAACGACACTAAGTTTTTTGAATTTAAAAATTAATATATGTATCTAAGAATAGTTTCTTCCTTGAGCCATAAAAAATGTAGCCTAAGTATTAAGCTAAAAGATAGCATTTAAAATGGCTGCAATGCTAATTCAAGGTGCTGATACAAACATGAGTATTAAAGTCTGAAAAAGCAAAGCATGGCTTACCCCATTGACCTATGTAACTAATTATATGTACTAATTACTCATTATGCCATATGTATTATGCCATATAGTATCAGTTTTAAAGTTTTTAGCATATACTGCCTTTGAAGAGTCTCAGTTTTTAGTTTGTATTAAACTGAGAAAATAACTAACTTTTTTCCTTTAACAGAAATTGAAAAATTCCAAAAAGGGGAAGGAAAGGAAGAAGAAAAATATATTGATGTAGTCATCAATAAAAATATGAAGTTGGGACAGAAAGTTTTGATTCCAGTAAAACAATTCCCTAAGGTAAGTCCAATTTTCATACTTGATAAATCTAAGTGCTTATAAAAGATATTCTACTAATACCTTAACTAGTTTAATTGTTTCATTTAAAACAGTATTAACAATCTCTACGATTGCTGTTCTGCGGTCTTTTCTAAGGTAGGAATGGTTCTTTTGGAATAAATGTGGTGCCCATCACAAAAAAGGAGTATGTTGAGAATAAGTGACAAATGAATCATATTTCCAGGATAGCAGGATCCTCCTCTGCATAATAGCAAAAGGAATGAAATATATTTAAGATGACTTTGATGCCAGGCTTTGAAGCTTTCCTATTGTAGGTAGGAGTGCAACTTTAAATGCTCCATGAAAGGAACTCACTGTAAACTTTCTTCTCATACTCTTAAGTTTGAGCCGTTGTTATTCTTGAATTAGTCAAATCTGCACTACTAAATTATACAGTCTATTCTGGAGGGGTGGGGACTGTTTTGTTAATATCTTTGACCACCATGAATTCTTAACACCTCTTTACTGCTGAGTATTATCCTGCGGTAAAATATTGCTACCTGGAAGCATTTATTCAACATTCAATAGGCTGTGGAACTTCATTCTTTTGGTCCCTTTTTAAATTTTAAGGTTCATGTTATGAAAATCAGATTAGCATTTTTTCACTTCTTTGAAATGGCTTTTTCTTCCTACTAGAAATTTTAAGACTGCTTCTGTTTCTAGAGGAAAGTATTCTTTCATTCCTTCCTCCACTACTTTAGGAAGACTTTGTCTAAGTTTTTTTTCTACACTACCAGTTTTTTCCTTACAGAGTATGCTGGGTAACTTGCAGGGAATGCTTTACTGCTGTTCAAAGTTTCATGACATACAGCTTCAGCGAATTCAAGATTGCATACCTCTTGTGTGGGCACCTCTTTGGAACTCTGACTTAAGTCATCTTTGACTGGGATGAAACATAAAGATGGGAAGGTAAAAGGTAGGGGAAGCTTACATGGTCAGTGTTTGTAATCAGGATGTTTTTCTTATAGATGTGGAGATGTAGATACTTGAGCTGAAGGGGAAGAAAGGCAAAATGGATATTAAGAAGGGAAGCAGTGCCTTTTGAAAGATTCTTCTGCTTCTTTACGTAGCGCCAACATTCTTCAAGGGACTAAACACTGAAATTCTTATTTAGGATAGTTAGTAGGAAAGCCCTTGCCGTGTTTTGAAGGGGCAGGTAAGTTCTGCTGTGTGCTCAGTAGTTCTGGTCCATGGAGGCAGTCTTTGTCTGAACTGGGGTAAAGCCTGGTACATGCTATGGAAAGAAACCTGCATTTATATCTAGATAGAGCTTAGATGTAATCTTGTATGTGTCTGTTTAGACCACCAGGATCCAGGGAGTGCAGTACAACAACTGTGCGGAATAGACATGCCATTTGACTTCCTATTTCTCCACTAGGACTTTCTCCACAGAAAGCAGAGTACTGGTATCTTCACTCACACAAATCTCCTGTCTGCCAGAGTGAATAAAATCCTAGGTGTTCTCTGTCTAATGATATTTTACCCCAATATAGGGGGGGCTCAAATTTTATTAGAAATTTCCATTTTATTACATAGATGGACATCTATTTTAAAGCTTACTTGTTAAAATTCCATATAGTGGAAAGTAATTAAAATTTCTCACCTCCCAGAGTACTCCTCTACAGTGAGTATGAATTCAGACTTATGACAGGTGCTCTTGAACTTCTGAAAAACACCCACCCTAAATCAAAAGCAGTTGCTGCAGTTTATTATCACTTGTTTAACAGGACCAGGCTTGTGGTTTTATTTCTGAGGTCTAATAAATCTAAATACACTGTATGAAGTGATGTAGCTTCAACATGGCAAACTGAGTGCCTTTTCCCGGCATACTCTAGTCTGCCCTGAGTGAAATGCCTGTACACAGGGGAATAAAGTCTTTTTAACACCCTAATGTTTGCTCTAAGGACTAATCCTCTTAAGTGTGTACAGAGGAGGACTCAGAAATTAGGGATGCTTTATCAGGTCTTTTGGGGTAGGTATGAAATCATTCCAGTCACCTTGGTTTCACTGAGCTGTATTTAGAGTGCATGCACTGTAGATTCAGATTCTGCAGAACTTAAGCACCATGTAATACTTTCTGCTTAAAACCTGAAATTATGCTTCACGTAAATGCTTTATGCCTATGTGACATTCTTTTTTGTGCATGTGTGCAGTTTTCTAGGCCATTTTGCCTACAAGATGTGTTGGTATTGGTGCAAATGTGTCATTTGTAGGTGCCAAGTGATAGTTCCTCAGGAAAATGGTTTGATTTGGTTCTGATTTATGAGCAAGTTTCTTCTTCCTTCTGATTGGGATTAGTGACAAATGCTTCAGAAGAATGAAACTTAAGACTTAAATATGGAGTAAATCTGTGCAAAAAGCTCTTCTGCTTGTGAATATTGAATTTAGAGCAGTTTTCCTAGCAAGCTGGCATCGGTTTGTGTGCCTGTGGTCCACACTAATGCTGTTAACTACTGTGCAAGATCCTGAAGAAAAAGATACCTCCAGCCTTTCAGGAGGTGTAGTCTTTCTGGTGTTAGTGAACTGAGAATCTGCTGTTTGAAGCTGACCAAGTTGCTACAATAATTGATAAATCTGTCAAACTAGCATTGGGGTACTAGTTTGGGTTGAATCTGGCAAACTTGGATATCCAGAATGTGGTGAAGAAAAAAAATAAGTTTGTTTCAACTTCGTGAATAGAATAGTGCTTCCCCAAATAACCCTGCTTTTAAACAGGATCAAAAAAGCAAGTTATTAAAGTTATTAAATCATTACCAGGGTTAACTAACTACAAATGCAAGTGATTTTGCTAGCAGAAACTATTCCTTTGTTTATATTTGCCAGTGATGAGACTGGCAAGCCAAGATGCCTCTGCTGTTTAGGTATATTGATAGGATTAATGAAATATCAATCATAATTTCTGTGATAAAATGAGGTCTCTGGACCAAAACAGCCTACCAGTGTACTACCCCTGTTCAGATAGCT